TTCTAGCAGGGCAAGTACCTTGGATAAAATCAGTGGATATGGGAGTGTCTGTGTCTTTCTGAACTCTTCCACGCAAGGTGATGGGGCAATAAATTAGCATAAAATCAATCAGGAAGCAGGTCTGGGAGCCTCTGGTCTCTCTTTCCATGCAGCTTGGTGATAGGGGAGCTAAACATCTTACATCCATTGTGTGTGTGTGTGTGTGTGTGTGTGTGTGTGTGTGTGTGTGTTTGCCTTCCATGAATGCAGCATGCTAAAGTCATCTAAGGCAATCTTTCCTTTGAAGATGGCCTGCTTGACTCTTTCCCTTTCAGAGGTACTTTCCTTCTTCCACTAGCAGCAGAGCCAATGGATTCTGCCTTGGCTCAGGCCAGATCAGCAATTGGCAATGGAAACAAATAAGCACCCATACTATCTTTCTACCAGCATACCAGCCTGCGTTGGTATAGAAACTACTTAGGTTTAACCTGTTTAGTAGGAAAGGGGGAGCTCCCCATGCTCCATGCTAGGTTTGCCAGAGTTCTCACATTGAAATTTGATGATGCTTTCTTGTAAATAGATCTACTTTGTCCTATAGTAATTCTTTTTATTGAGTCAAAATCTAAAATTTTGGAACTGGGGTTGTGGCTCAGTGGTACAGCGCTCACCTAGCACATGCAGGGTGCTGGGTTTGATCCTCAGCACCACATAAAAATAAAATAAAGGTATTTAGTCCAACTACAACTAAAAGCAAAATATTTTTTAAAAATCTAAAAATTTAGGAGGTTTCATGCAAAAATCCAAATTCCTAGTTTCTCCTGGAAAAGAAAAATAAAATGAGAGAGAGAGAGAGAGAGATCTGATAATTCTTGCTTGGCAACAGTAGGCTGTAGGTACCTGCTGCCTTTGCAGTCGCAAGAGTTCATGTTTTGCCTGCTCTCTGGTTTACATTACCTTTCTGACTCCTGTAGACAACTGAAATGACAAACCTTGCTCTAGTATTCATTGTTTTCTATTTGCCATTGGTCAATATGTATATATTCCCTTTCTTCCCAAGACCTTGTTTGAGGAGGTTTTTGGGGCCAAGTATTATCTTACTACCATTGGTGCTCCACTAGTACTTCTGACAGCTAAATATGCTACCTATTCCTGTGGCTGGGCTTCTCTAGGAGACCCTCTAGTGAACTCCTCCAGAAGTTCCTATAGTATAAGATATACCTGGCACTCATCAGGCTGGTGTTTACCTTGAGGTTATCTGGCAGCTCCGCCCTGCCAGCATACCCGGGGTTCATGGTGATGAAGACAGCACAAGTTGGGTTCAGAGAGAGCTCAGTGCCTTCAAAGACGAATACCTTCAGCTTCCGGATAATGGCTTGTTGAATGCTGAGAATCTGCTGGGCCACCACAGACAGCACTTCTACCTGTGGTGGGAATGTGGGCTCTGCCAGGGTCCCCCTCAGGAAGGAACCCAATATCATGAGAACCAAATCTTCATGTTTGAAATTAGGAAATTAGAAGTATGGTTTGGGGTTTTGTCAAAGAAAAAGTGTGTGTGTCTGTGTGTGTATACACATGCATGCATGTGTGTGTGCCTGGGTGTGTAAATACTTTCTATAGTATTTTATCTTTGTTTCAACACTTAGGATTGTACTTGGTCCATAGGAGGTACTCACTGTTTCTGGGTCCAAACTATGCTTACATTTCCTGATCTCCATTCTTTGCCCAAATATAGTTAATCACCCACTCTTTTATGTCGTTTGAACCACTACTATAAATTTCTATCAGACTCTGGCTCATTTAATTTTTATTCCACTTACTGAACTGTATCAGCCTACAGGGCAAGATTATTTCTTATTCATCTTTGTATCATGAACACATACAGAGTTGCTAACATATAGTGCCTGCTAAATACATTTTTGAATGAGTCAGTGAATGAATGCATATGGTAGCAAGGTACAGATATGTATGTAAGATATGTATTCTGCCTCCTTGTGGATGCTTTATAGACCTACTCTACACCAGCCACAGAGGAAACATAAGGTCCTGTCACTAAGGAGCTGAAAGCCCACAAACAGGATACTCTATGCCCAACCTCTTTGTTCTTTAGCGTAGAAGCAGAATTACCTCAATCCTGTTGAATTCATCGAAACAGGACCATGCTCCAGCCTGGGCCAGCCCCTTGAAGAACTTCCCCATGGCTTTGTAATCCAAACCATCTGAGCAGTTGAAGACCACACACTAGAAAGAAGGAGGGTGTGGGCACTGTTAATGATGGACTCCATCATCTCTGCACTACCTAGCATCCTGAAACAGGAGTGGGGTCCTCTCTTCTTATTCTACTCTCTTCTTATTCCCTGTTCTTCCTGTTATACTAAATCATCTTGAACTTCATGTTCATTTCCCTGGACAGGGTCCAAGAGGGGAGGGAAGAGCAGGTAGAGATAAATGGAATTTTCTCACCTGCTTGGCCAAAGCTTTAGCCAGATCTTTGGTGGTTTCTGTCTTGCCTGTTCCTGCTGGACCCTCTGGGGCTCCCCCAAGGTTCAGCTTCAGAGCACCCATCAGTGTCCTAAGGAGAAGAAAACAAGAATGTGGTGCCTGAGTCCTGAGACCCAGGAAAGAAACTGACTTTTTGTTTATTTTGATTTATGCAAAGTTTAAAAATTTCCCCCTGATTATATAACCAATATATCATCATCATAAAAAATTCTCTGTATTTTAAACTAAGAGCCTGGTGCATGGGTGGCAACCATAAACATTTATTTGAATGAATAAATGAATATATACATAAATGATTCCAAAAAAAGGTAAAAAAAAATCTTAAAAACTTCACTTTCAAAGATCACTAGTGCTAATGGAATGGTGAAAGCAAATACATTTCTCCTACTGAACTTTGAACTCTTAAGTTCAGGAGTTGTATTTTGATTTATTTCTATATCCTCAGCAAGAGAATACAGTGCCTGGCATGTGGCAAGTGCAAGATGAATGTTAGAAATGAATGATGTGCTAACTTGTTTGGCCTTTGGTATAAGTCTTTACAATTTCAGTTAACACACTACCTTGTAATCTTCTGCATAGGCCTCCCCCACCCCCAGTTAGGGTTAGGGTTCCTGGCTATTATGCATGGAGCACAGGAAAGTTCAAGAAATAGTTGTTCATGAGGGCTGTAGCTAATAATAGTGTACTGCATTCAGAATTTTGCTAAATGGTAGATTAAAGACGTTCTTGCTACCCAGGGTAAAATAGGTAACTGGGAGATGACGGATGTGTTAATTCGTTCCACTGTAGAAATCATTATGATATCATGTTGAATGTCTTTAATATACACACTAAAATTTATTTTAAAAAGAGATAGTTGTTGAATAGAATAATGAGTAGAATAAATGAATTAATGAATTAAAAAGTCACAGAATATAAGAAACAAGTGATTGAAGATTTTGAAAGGAGAAAATCCTCTCAAGTATTATTTTTATAATCTAAAAAATTTCACTCTAAAGGAAAAATACAAGAGCAAATAAAATCTGAACATCACAACATTGATACATTTACAAAATATAAGTTTCTAATGTTAGGAATTCCACAGAAAGTAGCGAAGTGCTTAGCTGAGCACCAAATGACTGTATCTCCTCAGCAGACTGGCTGGCAGAGCTTAGGGATGACTTGTCTGGTCCTTGGCCTGGCTCCTTGTCAATCTCTTGGCCACAGGATCTCCAGGCACCCTCTTGATTCTTGCCACTGCAGATCTTTCTACTCAGATACCATGTCCTTTTTACAGCGGTGCATCAATGTTCTGCTTACTGGTTCTAAGGTATTCATTTCACCAGGACCCATACTAGTTTCTCATTTCTAGCCCAAAGACCTAGTTTCCATAACCATATGTGGGACTATGGTGACTGAGAGAAACGTTCTAAAATGTAAGAATCTGAAATGTAGATGGTAACAAATCTAAGACATCCCTGGCCTCTTCCCCAGACTCTTTTCTCTCTGGATTCCCCTGTTCACCCCTCCAATCTGGCAGCCCTAGAAGGTACCTGTAACAGCGGTCCGTGAGGGGTGTAATCACCAGCCGGGGGGAGTTTCCCAGGTACTCGTAGCCATACAAGGCTTCTGTGGTTATCATCTGCACATGCACATCGTTTTCCTCCCAGTAGTAGCGCAGCTGTGAGATCCACTGGAAATCGTTCAGATCAGAGATTCCATCCTTAGCTAACTTGGCCACCACGTCACGAGCTTTTGGGATCCAGATGCAGAAGCACGTGAGAAGCCCTCAGAATTCGCCCATCTCCAAGGCCTCCTCAGTTAGAAGAAGCTGTTATCAAGGCCACCCCTCCCAACAGTGTCAGGTTTTATCCCCCCCTTCCTTCCTTCCACCTGCAGGCAGCAATAGCTTTCAGAAGACAGTCTTGGCCTTCTCCCGAGGAGTGGGCAGAGGGGCCTGCTACATCGTCTTCTCTCACAGAGTAGAACTATTAAATGTGCATACTCTGAAATCAGACTGCCTGGTTTCAAATTCTGGTTCCATCATGAACTAGCTGTGTGATTTTGGAGCAATTACTGAACCTCTCTGTCCCTTAGCTGCATAATCTATAAAATGGGGGATAACATAGTATCTATCTTATATGGTTATTATGAGAACTAAATGAATATGTATATGTGTGTAATATACAGACATATAATGTAACATAGACATGGAATGTACATATATATTATACACAGAGAGAGAAAGGGACATAGAAAAAGGGAGATAGATAGATAGATAGACAGATAGATAACTGTATTCAGCATATAAAAATATCATCTAAGTATTTACTGTTATTTATTCCCAAATTCTTGAAGGAGTGAATCAGAGGGCTTTGCAATATGTATGACCCCCTTCTGTAGCAGGTCTCTAGGATATCCTAAGAAAATGTGATCAACTTGACCCGAGATAGTTACCCTGGGAAGGTGTCCCATGAATCCAGGATTAGAGGTATTCTTCCCCCCTGGGGTTTGAGAAACAAGCTAAGAGATACATTTCCACCTTTTCTCCTTTCTCTCATATAATTGTGAAACTAATGTAATTTTTTCACAGTGAGAGGAGCCCTGAAGTTACAGAGTGATATGGTTTCATGAAAATCATTAATTATCTTTCAGGCAGCTCACAGGGTGAGGGATACCAAGATCTCTAAGCTAGTATAGCCAGCTAGAAATAAGGATCTGAGAATTGTAATTTGGTGCTACTAGGAATTGCTATACCACTGAGCCCCCTCTACCACACCCCCAGACCTTGAGAAAGGGTTTTACTAAATTGCTGAGGCTGGCCTCAAACGTGTAATCCTCCTGCCTCAGCCTTCCAATTCTCTGGGATTACAGTTGCACACCATCGCCCAGCTTCTCAGAAACATAACTTTGCAAAGGTAAGCTTCTGCAAGTCTGCTGCCTCTCTGAGAGAGGTCCTCTTAATTACAGTAAAAGACCAAAGCCCTGCAGAGATGAGTCCTTGAAGATTACACCAGAAGCTCTTCCTTTCTTCCCAAAGAACTAAATTCCCTGTTGGGTTCTTGTGAGAACCCATGGGGTGCTGGCAGGAGTAGGGTTCTGCATGAGCATTTCAAGAGGAAAGTAAATCTCAAGGGGTTGTTGGAGTTGCCCTTGCTATACTGTGTGTGTGTGTGTGGGGGGGGGTACATGTGCATACATGCACACTTGTGCTTGTGAACCCAACCACTCTGGGCTACTCTGGGCAGTAACCACATCTGCATTTATTATCCCTACCAGCAGGGAGTGAGACCGGGAGGGGAGCACATTCCCCCTCCTCCCTTTCTAATTTTATGCTAGTCTATCTGGATGAAATCAGACTGAAATGAGCAACAGCCCTGAGGGAATGACATGCCAGTAGGAAGCTGAGTTTGTGAGCAAGAGAGCCACTGTTCCCAGGCAACCAGCCTGGTCCAGCCCTGGTTTCCTTGGTGATGATGGAGTGAGGGTGTGAGGGTGGTTTTTTTTATATAAAGACCCCAGTACTTTCTCCTCCTCCTCCTCCTCCTCCTCCTCCTCCTCCTCCTCCTCCTCCTCCTTTTCTTCTTCTATTTTTTTTTAAGGGAGAGCTGAAAGGCATCATCCTCACCACTCCTTCGCTGCATCACTGCCCATTTCCAGTCCCTGGGGTTTAGAATCAGATGAGGAGTCTCCGATAAGGACTCTGCCTCTTAGCAAGTTATTTACCTCACTGAGCATCAAGTTCTTTATCCGTGAAACATATGTGGGAATGAGATAACACAAGCACTTAGCACAAAGCTTGGTACCTGCTGAGTATTCAAAAATATTAGCCGTGGCTGCTTTGAATCAGTCACCAAGTTAGAGTATCTCAGAAATGTCTTTGGCCATCACGGTCTATGTAAGAGCCCTGCTTGGAGGGTCCCTGGAAATAGGATTGGGGACGGGAAATGATAGAGACATACAGAACCCTCTGGAATTGGCTTTTCTGTACTTACCCCTTATCTTACTCTCAGTTAGAGAAGCCTCTCCACCATAGAGAAGGAAAACCTGAATCATTCCATTCAGGAGGACTGAGTGGCAAGACTGACTGCCAAACATGGACAATGAGGAATGCCAGGGAAATTCTTGCTTACCGTGGACATCGATGACAGTGAGGGCCCCGAGAGTGAGTCGAGCTCCACTGCTCAGTTTCCCTCGCACCAGTTGGACAATCTGTGCAATCTGGTCATTGCTCTTTTTCAGAAAATCCTGGCAGGAGCCACAGGAAGCAATTGGTTACAGTGGATTCTCCCCCCAGCAATGCCCATCTCAGGGACTGACATCATCCAAGCCAGACTCCTGTATGTCAGCTCTCAAATCCCCAGCCATTAACCTCCAAATGAATTTTAAATGCATTAGGCTACTAAAAGAGGCTAGATTTGGAAGACTACATACTGCCTCATCTTATTTTTATGGTATTATAGAAGAGGCAAAGCAATAGAGGCAGAAAACAGGTGTCTGCAGAATCTTGGAGAAAGGGTTGACCACCTAGGATGTGAGGGAATTTTGGGTGGAGTGGAACTGTTCTTCATCACTGGGTCATGATAGGCATAGAACACTGGCCTCTGTGATGCTGTGGCACAAATTGTTTTTTCTTTCTTTCTTTTTTTTTTTTTTTGTAGTTGTAGATGGACAGAATGCCTTTATTTTATTTGTTTATTTTATGTGGTACTGAGGTTCAAACCCAGTGCCTCACGAAGGATAGGCAAGTGCTCTGCTACTGAGCTACAGGCCCCAACCCCACAAATTGTTTTTTTTTTTAAACTAATTCTGTAGTATTCATTTATTTATTTATTTTTATGTGCTGCTGAGGATTGAACCCAGGGCCTCACACGTGCTGGGCAAGCACTCTAACGCTGAGCCACAACTCCAGCCACCCCCCGATCCAAAATTGTTTTTGTTTAAAAAAAAACATGGCAACTCTAATTATTTGTTTTTCAAATCCTAGTTGATGCACTGCAAGCTTCATGGCAGGCTCACTTACCGGGAGGGTATTTTCAACCAGGGCTTCGGAAACCTCCTTGGTCCAAAAGATGGAGGAGACACAGATAACTACCTGGCCAGGCCACTGTAAGACCCAGGAGTTACGAGGGACCTGGGAAGGGGTAGGGGTTCGTTGTAGGGTCAGTTCATCATGTGTAGTTTAAAGTGACTTTCTAAAAACATGCCCAACCACCTCACTCTGACAATGAAAACAAAATCCTCTCCCTCCCTTAGATACTACAAAGCTTGACATCTCTGGAATTATTGATTTATGCCTTCCTCCCCAAAGCTTATGGAAAAGAAAAAATAAAAACAACAACAATTTCATCAACTTTGCATTTTTTTCTCACACAAAATCTGCCAACAATTTTTATATGGTTATAATCAAGGAGATGTTCTCAGAATACTTATAACTACTCTTTTTAATGGCTATATAATATTGCAGTGCTATATCAGTTTTTTATGCATTTTTAAATTTTAAAGCCAAGGCCCCCTTCTCCCACTTTTTCTCTTTAACGACAGATCAGAAGTGGGTAACTAATAACCTGGGGACCAAATCTGGCCATGCTCATCTTTGTAAATAAAGTTTTATTGGAACACAGCAATGCTCATCATTTACACATTGTCTATGCTGCCTTTGTGCTACAAGGGCAAAGTTAAATAGTTGGGAGGTGGGTGGGGAAGTGTCCCACTGAAATGAACATGCTTTACCATCTGGCCTTTCACACAAAAAGTGAGTCAAGTTTTGCTATAGATTTGCTTGCATGAAATAATTTCATATTGATAGCTATTTCTTCTTAATTTTTGATTTAGAATCAACCATAATAAAACAGATTTGCCTTCCGTTCACAATGCAGAGACTGCTGTGAGGGATGGGAGGGGTTCCTGAATAATACTTTAGGGTGAAGGTGTTAATTGAATGTTTTACTTGATGCAAGGGGTCCTGGGAAAAGGGATGGGAACCTGGAAATAAGAAAAGACACTTAAAGTAGAAAGGACAGTAGCAGAGGCTGGCTAAAGAGTTGTCTTGACAGGTTATTCCCTCATAAGCTTTGTATCATGCTTGTTCCCCTCAAAGCTTTGGGAGCTTAATGAGTTATTAAGTTACATTTGTCCAGGACAAATGTAATGCAAATGAATGATTAATTGGAAGAGCGTCTAAACAGACTTCCTGCCATCAATTCCACGTGACAGAAAAGACTGGCTCTGAGTGTTCCAGTTAACCCTCTGTCTGATCTGCTTCTAACAACAAATGTTTCTCCATAAATATGTTCATCATTGCAGATGTACAGGTAAAGGCCAGAGCGGCACAAAGGGGTGGGGTTTGGTAGAACACAGAAGGCCAATGGAACAGATCCATTCAACCTTCTCCCTAGAGCTTCCATTAAGGTACCAACACCCTGCACGTGTGCCACGACAGTTGCTTACCTTGGCATATGCTTCAATCCCTTGTCTGATAACTTCCCGCAAGCTGGCCAGCATCATCTGCTCCACCTGCTGGAGCCACTTTTCCACCATGCCCTGTGCGCCAAGACAGACAGAAGGAGGTGATGACAATCAGTCAAAGCCCAGGAGGGATATGGGATGAACCCAGCTCTCTCTCTGGGTAGGGCTGTAGGGAGGCCAAAGGCTGGATAACTCTTCAAGCCAGTAGTCTTTAACTATTTTCTTTACATTTATTTATAGTGTTTTAGGAAGTGTATGCTTCCTGCAGGGGCAATAGATTTTTTAACACATATTTCTTTCATGTCATTTTCTGAAACATAACTTCTTAGGAGGCAAATGAAATATTCACATTTCAGTTAATAAAGTAGCTCCTGATCATTGGATCAGTTCTAATTTATGCATTATTCCAAAGGTTCCCAAACTTTGCTGTGTATTGGGATCATCTGGAGATCTTTATAAAATACAGATCTCTCTCTCTCACCTCCAGTATTTCTGATTTTATTGGTATGAAATGAAACTCAGATATTTGGATTTCATTTAAAGCTGCACAAGAAATTCAAGTGTGCAGCAAATTACTCAATCTTAGCATTTCAAGTAACTATGGCTATTGACTTCAGGCACCTGTAAACTAGCTAGTGGGTGTCTGGGCTGGTGATGTGATCCCTGATTGTGGCAGTTTATATGTGTAGGTGGCAAAAACAGTCAACAAAGGGAGGCCAAGAGTGCTTGTCTATTTCCATTTAACAGTGCTGCCTTGTTCAACAGAAATAGATGTAATTTACATTTTACTCATTATAAAAGGAAATATGTATGAAAACCCTAGTAAATTGACATCAGATCTGTGATGTACAGTCGACCTATAAGCAAATGCTCCAGGAAGCTCTTCATCTGACTGGATCATTTTAAATTAGGTTCTTTATGAGGAAATTTAAACAGTGTCTATTATTTGGATCTGATTCCTACTACTGCCTCCACATCAAGTTAGTATAAAATCCTTCCACAGGTTTAGTATGTGGTATGGCTTACAATATCAACCCCGTTTTAGAGATGAGAAAACTGAGACTCAGAAAGACTACATAACTCCTCCCAAACACTCAATCTTCTTACGTTACGGAATCCAAATGTTCTATACCCAGAACTAGAATCCAAAAGTGAAACCAATATGTTCTCTCTCCGGTTTGCTCTATTATGGAGAAAAGAACCAGAAATGGATAAGGGGAGTTACTTTGGCTTTAGCTGGGTAGATTTTCTGTATGAATGGAACCGTTTCCTTCTCTGAGCTGATCATGCCCGTGATTTCCAGACTGTCTGTAAACTCCAGCCTGGCAATGCCTTCAAAGCACTTCTTCAAGTGAGGCTGCACTCGGAGGGGGTCCTTTGTCTCAGACAGAATCTCCAGCAGCTCATCATTTGACAGAAAGAAGAACCTATTTAAAAGCAAAGGAAAATGGTAACTGAGACCTCTTCTGGAAAATTCTATTTCCAATAAAGTGATACTCCACAGCAGATCCAAGTGAATACCAGCCATGACCTCTGCCCCTCGTCTTCTCTCTTTCCTTTATTTTTTCATATATTTTATTGGTACATTATAATTATACATAATAGTGGGATTGTGTGTGTGTGTGTTGCTGGGGATTAAACCCAGGGCCTTGTGCATGTGAGGCAAGCACTCTACCAACTGAGTTATATCCCCAACCCAATAGTGGGATTTGTAGTAAATGCTCATGATACAACAATATAATTTGGTCAGTTTTGTTCCTCCATCTTTCTGCTTTCCCTCCCTCCTTTCCTCCACCTGGTCCCTTTCCTTTACTGATCTCTCTCTTTCATTTTCATATTGAGATCCCCTGTCCCCTGCCCTTTTTCCTCTCTAACTTCCACACACAAGAGAAAGCATACAACCTTTAACTTTCCAAGCCTGGCTTGTTTCGCTTCATATAATGGTGGCAAGTTCCATCCATTTTCCTCAGGCTCTTCCCTAAGGCCCACTCCTCTGCACTATTTTCCATCTGGGGCATAGAAGGTGAAGACAGTTTTGACTCTGAGAGCAAGAGGAAGGAGGAAGGCTGGTTTACGTGAGTTTAACATGGTTGAAAGGAGCCTGGATGAAGCAGTGGTTCGAGACTTTGCTGGTACTTTAGAATCACATGAGGAGCTTCTGAAAAGGCCACTGCTAAGAGATAGCTATAGAAGTTGATCAGGGGTAAAGTCTGGGGAAATGTATAGATTTTAAAATCCCAAGTGATTCTAATGTGTAATGTTGAGAACCAGTGAGTAGAAGAAAGAGACTTCTTGTCTTTCCTTCTCTCCAGGTATGCCAGAAAATACTATAGGTGTGAAGCAAGAAAGGGCACGTTAGTAATAAATCCATTTACATGCACAGTCTTCTACCATCTTTTAAATGAGAGACAATAAGACAACTTCATTTCTTGCTCAGGCCCTAAAAACAGCAACAACAAACCTTTGGAAAATGTTCAAGGTATAAACCTCTACTGTGACCGCCAGGTTGAAAGTCCCATGGTGGAGGGACCCTGTGGACATTCAGTCTTCACTGAATGTGGCAGAAGACAATAATGGCCCCAGTGTTCACAGAACCAGCCCAGGTTTCAAGAGGTGGAGTCTGTATTCACATTTCTTGAACCTGGGCTGGTTCTGTGTCTTGTTTTGGACAACAGAATCCAGTGGAACATGAATCTGCACATTCCAAGTCTATAAATCAAGAGGCCCAGATGTTTCCACTCTTGAGGTTCTTAGGAACTTTGTGACCATCACCATGTGAATAGACCCAGGCTAGCCTTTTGGAGGATGAAAGACTTTCTAGCCAATAGGAAGCCAACCAACAGACAAGTGGTTAAGGCAATAGATGGCCAACCAACTGCAGATACATGAATGTGCTCTGGTGAGGCCCCAGGAACCACACAGCTGAGCCCAGCCCAATCTGCCAAACCATAGACTTATGAGCTAAATGAATGGGTGTTGTCATTTTTTTTAAGCTTCTAAGTTTTAAGTGATGAACAGGGTAGGTACGAAGAGTTCAATAATTATTTGTTGGCTGATTGACTAAATAATATGTAATAAGCATGTCAGTTTTTCCCATTCCCAAGTGAAATTCAAATGAGTGATATCTATGGACTTTTATAATCTCTATCTCTAGCATGACTAATAAAACCATTATTCAGCATTCTGGACTTTCAAGGTAAAATTATGTAACTATCAGTAACATTTTGAAAGTATTCACTGAGAGTGTTGTATTTTACTTATAAAAATGCATAAAAAATTATTGAGGAGGCTGAGGCAGGAGGACTGCAAGTTCAAAGCCAGCCTCAGCAAGAGAGGAGCTAAGCAACTTAGTGAGATCTTATCTCTAAATAAAATACAAAATAGGGCTGGGGATGTGGCTCAGTGGTTGAGTGCCCCTGAGTTAAATCCCTGGTACACCCACCAACCCCCCCAAAATATTGAGGTGTATATGTTTAACTTATGGAGACAATGTGGCTGGAGATGTTAAATTTCTAAGTATTATATCCAGCCTTTCTGGGTTTGGATTCCAGTCTGGCCATTTTCCAGTTTTGTATCTTTGGGCAAATTATTGTTTTCTCATATTTAAAATGTGGGTAATAATAATACTCCAAGTAATATTTTAGGGCCTGCGTATTATTCAGGTATTATTCATAGTTTTACCAGCAGTGACAGTAGTGGATACAGCTGACATCCCAAACCTTAAGGGTTCCTGAGTTTAATCTCTTCTCAGTTTTGTGCTTCCAAGACAGCATCCCACCAATGTTTGCTCTATACTTGGATTATTCAATAGAGAAGCCATTAGCCACAAGTAGCTATTTTACATTTTAAAAAAGAATATTAAATAAACTAAAACTTCACTTTCTCAAGTGCACTAACCACATGTAAAAGTGCTCAATAGTCACATGGGGCTAATGACTACAATTTTGGACAGCACAGATACACAGCATTCCTATCGTTGCAGGAAGTTCTGTTGGATAACACCGCATTGAACATACCAAGAACATTTCAGGGTTACAAACAAAAAATAAACCACTTCTCTTTTTGGTGGAAAGATGGGAACTAACTTTGTCTTTGTATAAAGGAAACTTTTTGGTGGAAAGCTGGAACTAACTTTGTCTTCTGTAAAGGAACACTAGACTTTACTTTTTTAAAATGCATATTAGGATCAAATCTACATTCTAATCAGACCCAAAGACATGCAGTGACGATCCATGTGCAAACCACACCTGGATGGATTTTTTGGGGAGTGAGGATGGTCCCTTCTGGAGCCAGCCCTCTAAAGTCACTTTGACTTTTATGTAAACACTAATTTTTGTGGAAAAGAGAGTCAAATTTTTAGAAACTTACCTACCAGAAACTACAAATTTTGATGTAAAAAAATCAGTTGGCTTCTCTCAGGCACATCTAATTTACATACACCAGCTCATTGCACAGTGAATATATGAAGTCAGAGCACTATTATTATTCTATTCTGATTTTTTAGCTGAGAACCAAAGACTCAGATTTGCTGAAGGTCTTAAGACTACTAAGTGGAAAAGCTGGGACTCCAAAAGAGGTCTGTTTAGCTCCAAAGATGAAGCTCTAATCCCCATTCGTATACCACTTTAACTGGGGGGAATGACAAGTCTTGCTGGTCAAAGTGTGGATTTGACCCCTCCCACCCCCGCCATGACCATTCAACCTCATTTTAGATAATGACCATGAAGACATGACTTACTCCTAGTAGCTGTATCTTGGGAAATGGAATAGATTGGTTAAAGGTAATCTCAGTATGAGAAATGTCATTCTACCTAAACATGGTTCCGGAGAATAACTCCAATTAAGAGAATACTGGATACCTGGGGAAAAATAGTCTCTTCTTCTCCAAGTAATCATTTAGACCTTTCTGGATGTCCTCCAGTAGAATGTTGGCTTCTTGAAGCCTCTCAGTCATCCGTGGCTGGTCTGCTGCCATCAGAACCCTGGGATCTTTCACCTGGATTTTCACCAAAAAAAAGAGGCAAGAATCATTGTGGGGTTCCTGAATTCTGAGATTGGTTGAGGAAATGAATGTGTGACTAGCCCGTCAACCAACTATGGCCCCTGCCCAGTTAACAGCTTTTTCATCTCCCTCCTAAATCCACAGGGGGTTAAATGTTCATTTAATCTTATTTCTCTGTTCATGGTTGACTGAGCAGGGATTGGGCACTTGAAACCAAGTGAATCAATTAATTTCTAATTTCCAGGGGTTTAGAATTCAGACCATGATACTTTATGCTTTGGGTGGTCCTTGTATCAGGGAGCTTTGGATCTGTGTGAGGATCACCTCCCGCCGTGTGATTAAGTGTTCAAGCAAGCCAGACTGCCAAGAGAGACTGAAGCAGGCATGGAAAGAGAAATAGAGGTCAGAGGTAGGGGAAGGGTATTTCTGGATTTCTGAATTTCTGGGTTCTAGGTCCAACCTTTGGGAGCCTGTGCTGCAATTTCTGCCCTTGGGTCTCAGGAGACAATCACCTGGTCTTTTTGTTTGTGCTACGGAGTGGGTTTCTGTAACTAGCAAACTTCACTAATGTAAAATTGGTTCCATTGGCTGGGCCATATAAATTCCCACTTATTTCACTCCTGCAAACAGGGCAGGTACATTCCCTTGAGACACACTTTTTGTTAGTGCACCCCAGTTTGAGCACACTTAACTTAGAAAACGAACAAGGTATGACCTCTTAAGATATGTCCCAATTACCATGCACACTCAGTTGAACTGTCATCCTTTAAGGTTTTGTTATATTGTCACCTCTTTAGGGTCTCCTAGAGTTTCCAGGCAACTAAATCATTCTTCTGTATTCCAAACACTATTTGCATGTATATTATAGACCTTATTTATTTAAGCTTGTCTCCTCACAAGACAGTGAATTCTACAAAGGCAGAAACCATATTATTTTCAAGTATTTTCTGATTCCCTATATAATGCCTGAATAATCATAGGTAACCCATAAACTTTTGTGAAATGACAGTAACAATGTAGGCAATTTTTTGAATTCTAACAGGATTTTCAATATATAAAAATTCCATCAAATCATCATCATATAACAAAATCTTTTATCTCATTAGAAATGATAGTTATGTAATACAAACTGCTAATTACCTCTATGGAGCACAAGGTTACTACTCTCTCTATATTTCCATGTTTGAATTTTTAGTAACTTAGAACAAAGACATAAAAATGTCAAATTTGCAAAAAAAAAAAAAAACAATTTACTTAATAGTTTCAACGGATGTGTTAGTGAAATGTGTTGGGGGAAAACTTACCGCTTGGGCCATAAGCGTTTTCCAGTAACCATCCACGATGCCAAATTTTCGGCCCTCTTCTGGCATCTGGGCGATAATGTCCTCTGAACTGAAGATGGGTTCCAGGTACAGCCAAGTGGCTTGGCATTTCAACCAGGCATCCAAATTCTCCTGCACACGAACAAGCTTTTCTTCCCATTTCTGTGAATTTAACATTCCGCACCTGAATCAGTGACCTGCCACTCTGCACCACAGGCCCCATAACTGAACAAATGGACGGAATCATTCACTTATTTCCCTCACTTGCTTGTTTTAAGAAATACTTATTGAGTGTCCTTTATATTTTGGTCACTTTTCCAGGCAATGTGGATACAGCAATGAATGAAACACACCAGAGTTTCTGCCCTCATGGGAGCTCACATTAAGCATAGCTGCATGCTTACTCCATGATCTGTGATGGCCAGAGTGCTTTGTTCATGTCAATCCAATTTAATTCAACAGCCTGATGAGGAAGGTATTATTAAAAATCTCAATTTACAGATGCAGGAACTAAGACAACAATTTTGGGGGGCGGGTACTGGGGATTGAACTCAGGGGCCCTCAAACATCGAACCACATCCCTATTTTGTATTTTATTTAGAGGGTCTCATTGAGTTGTTTAGCGCCTTGCAGTTTCTTAGGCTGGCTTTGAACTTGCGATCCTCCTGCCTCAGCCTCCCGAACTGCTAGGATTATAGGCGTGAACCACCTAAGACAATGATTTGACTTGCACAAGGTCACATGACTAATAAGGGGCAGAGCTAGAATTTGAAACCAGGCAGTCTGGCTCCAGAGTCTGTACCCTTGGCCTATGCCACTTTTCTACAAAAAATGAACAAAGAAGGCCAACCCCCTACCCTCGTGTTCTTCATATTGTAGGTTAATACAGCCCATAAGATACTTTCCAAATATATTTTTATTTGGTGTATTTCAAAGCTCATCTTTTTCTTCTGGCAGACAACCACTCAACATGCCATATGGTTACTTGTATCATTATCACTTTCAGTTTTTCTTTTTCTTCCTTCCTTTTTTTTTTGTTCCATTCAGGAGAAAGTAAGGTTATTTGTTAACTAAACTTGAAAAACTTCCCCTTCCTTGGAGAAACCCAGAGCCAATGGAATGTCAAAACACATGCAACCCCATTTCCTCTTACCCGGCACTCTGCTTCTATTGGCTTGATGAATGCAGAGCCACACATGGTCTGGGTCTTTATCACGTGGTCATCGAGGAGCAGTTGAATGTCATCAATTGCACACAGGATGCTTGTATCCTGCAAACACACACACCCTGCCCTGTCAAAGTCATCAGACCCCCAAATCGTCCCTACCCCATTTTTAGAGTAGATATGGGGATTGAACTCAGGAGCACTCAACCACTGAGCCATATCCCAATCCCTATTTTGTATTTTATTTAGAGACAGGGTCTCACTGAGTTGCTTAGCTCCTCTCTTTTGCTGAAGCTGGCTTTGAACTCATGATCCCCCTGCCTCAGTCTCTGGAGTTGCTGGGATTACCAGTGTGTGCCACTGCTCCCCGCTCCTACCCTATTTTTTTAAACTTTTTAATTTATTTTTTATTTATATATGACAGCAGAATGCATTATAATTCTTATTACACATATAGAGCACAATTTTTCATATCTCTGGTTAATGCTTATTCCTGAAGGCTCAGAATGGCACTCCAGTGGGACAGGCATCCGTGTCTGCAGGAGATGGGATTTCTATTTTCTTCCTCGAAAATGTCTATAAAGCCATTTGTTGTGCACCTGCTTTGCAGAAAACAAATACCATCTGATCCCAGACTTGCAACTAGAGTCTCTTGGGGGAAGAAGACTTTTGTCCCCTTCCCCACATTCCTTCTTCTCTGTCCACTCACTTTCCTGCTTGTCCTCTCCCTCCTGTAGGATCAGCTGCTGGTCTAACTGGTTAGGCCTAGACTCATGCACAGGGCAACTCCAAGTAACTATTGTGGTCATGTAAACATATCATACAAATATTATTTTTATTACAATTTATATGTATTATTTTAAAAACATCTGACATAAATAAACTCCTATGACATAAATGCTTATTAAGTGTTTAGAGCTAATTATTTCATAAACAAAATGTTTTGGGGTTTGTTTGTTTTTTGGTGCATGGTTACCATGGTAAAGGTATTTAGACCCCAAATTCCCCCTGAACCTCTGTGCTAGACATTTAATGGGTCATATTTTACTACTATGAAAGGCTCCTGTGCTTTAGAGGTAAATGGTAATTTTCCTCCTGAGACATTGTGACAAACTGATAGGGTCTGTCCCCTTTGGCGAGTCTGTTCCCATTTCTTTCAATCCTACATCTGGGTGGCTAAAATGGGCCTAGGACATATTCTCTCATCTACCCTTCACCAGGAGCTCTGCACTGGGAGGCATGTCCAGCTATTAATAAAGCTATTAATAAACAGCTTTATTCCCATTTTGTTGTTGGTCCTGTAGATACAGCTACTTCAGTAAAAAACTGAAGATGGGCCAGCAACAATGCAACTTCTCCCAGGTTCCCTAGCTGAAGTTCACAGCCCAACAGCCTCTACAGCAGGATCTAAGCCAATCTGTCCATGGAGCACCAAGTTCCTGGGACCCACAGGGCCCTTGTCTTGCCAGAAGAGGCTCAGCGATGAACCATGTGTCTCCAGCTCTCCTCACTCCCACTGTCTCATTGATAGTTCTTATCCAAGTGTGAAATTGAAGCATCATGACTGTTAGAACAAAACTGGGGGAGAAGTCACAGGAGGATAAGATGCAGCTTAAAGGGGAAGGAAAATATAGGAGTAAGGTTCTGGTTCTCAATCTTCCTGGAATATTAGTGAAATCAGAGGTGCCTTAAAAGTTCAGATGCCCAAGCACTCTGAGGGTGGAGAAGACAGGAAGAATCAATGTGGGATTTTTAAAGCAGGAGTGATTCTGTTGTTTACCAGCACAGGCGACACTGCCAACAGTATGCAGCAAGTATCAGCCTGTTCCCAGCATGATTTACAGAGCCGTAGCCCTCCTTACCCAAGAGCAAGTCAGACCTGAGACAGCTGAGCAGATAGATTCTTTGGGTTTACGCACCTCCCCATGCACTGTACAAACTCAAATGTTATTTGCAAGTGCCAGAGAAAAAGAGAGAAATCTACATCCTTGCCATTCAAACTTCTGTGCATATATTTGAGAGTTTGTTAAAGCAACAGAACTTCAGGCCCCACCCCAGACCTCAGGAGTCAGAACCTGCAGTTTAACAAGATTGCTGGGTGATTCCTGCATATAGTAAGATTTGAGAAGTTCTAGGCATTGTCCACCACCAGTAGGCTTCTGAGGACCCAGGGGAGCATTAGAAAGGTGTGCCAACTTGCGCCCTGCCTGGGAGATGCTAATTCAGGAGGCTTACTCGTTTCCTTTGCACTGAGCATGCCTATTGCACCAAATCAAAACGCCTTTCTGATTTGAAAACACATCTCTTCAGTGGTGTCTGAAAGGAAGGATGAGTGTAGACAGGGGGAAACAATCGAGATGTAGGGATTATTCTTCCATGAGTTCTGTTGCAATTCTGAATGAGTAACCTCTGTAATCCACTCCATAATAAATGGTGCTGTTTTCAGTTTAATGGAGACTCACAGTGTCCCTGTATTTCACGAAGCTGAATGTCATGTTAATCCAGTCTAACTTCATTTTCTCCAAGTTCTTCTCCAGGGAATATTCCTTACTGGCAGCTGCACCAATGGGCTCCAGTCTAAAGAAAGAACACGCAACAGCAACGTCAACAGGAGGCAGCAGAAGAAACATGTCAAAGGAGAAAGCTCTACTCAGTTTTTTTTTTTGTTTGTTTGTGTTTTTTTTATGGTCTTTTTTTTTTTTATTGGTTGTTCAAAACATTACAAAGCTCTTGACATATCATATTTCATACATTTGATTCAAGTGGGTTTTGAACTCCCAATTTTACCCCAAATACAGATTGCAGAATCACGTCGGTTACACATCTACATTTTTACATAATGCCCTATTAGTAACTGTTGTATTCTGCTACCTTTCCTATCCCCTACTATCTCCCCTCCCCTCCCCTCCCATCTTCTCTCTCTACCCCATCTACTATAATTCATTTCTCTCCTTGTTTATTTTCCCATTCCCCTCACAACCTCTTATATGTAATTTTGTATAACAACGAGGATCTCCTTCCATTACCATGCAATTTCCCTTTTCTCTCCCTTTCCCTCCCACCTCATGTATCTGTTTAATGTTAATCTTTTCTTCCTGCTCTTCCTCCCTGCTTTGTTCTTAGTTGCTCTCATTATATCAAAGAAGACATTTGGTATTTGTTTTTTAGGGATTGGCTAGCTTCACTAATCATAATCTGCTCTAGTGCCATCCATTTCCCTGCAAATTCCATGATTTTGTCATTTTTTAGTGCTGTATAATACTCCATTGTGTATAAATGCCACATTTTTTTTATCCATTCATCTATTGAAGGGCATCTGGGTTGGTTCCACAGTCTAGCGATTGTGAATTGTGCTGCTATGAACATCGATGTAGCAGTATCCCTGTAGTACGCTCTTTTAAGGTCTTCAGGGAATAGTCCGAGAAGGGCAATAGCTGGGTCAAATGGTGGTTCCATTCCCAGCTTTCCAAGGAATCTCCATACTGCTTTCCAAATTGGCCGCACCAGTTTGCAGTCCCACCAGCAATGTACAAGAGTACCCTTTTCCCCACATCCTCTCCAGCACTTGTTGTTGTTTGACTTCATAATGGCTGCCAATCTTACTGGAGTGAGATGGTATCTTAGGGTGGTTTTGATTTGCATTTCTCTGACTGCTAGAGATGGTGAGCATTTTTTCATGTACTTGTTGATTGATTGTATGTCCTTCTCTGAGAAGTGTCTGTTCAGGTCTTTGGCCCATTTGTTGATTGGGTTATTTGTTTTCTTATTGTTTAATTTTTTGAGTTCTTTGTATACTCTGGATATTAGGGTTCTATCTGAAGTGTGAGGAGTAAAAATTTGTTCCCATGATGTAGGCTCCCTATTTACCTCTCTTATTGTTTCTCTTGCTGAGAAAAAACTTTTCAGTTTAAGTAAGTCCCATTTGTTGATTCTTGTTATTAACTTTTGTGCTATGGGTGTCCTATTAAGGAATTTGGAGCCCGACCCCACAATATGTAGATCGGAGCCAACTTTTTCTTCTGTCCGACGTAGAGTCTCTGATTTGATATCTAGCTCCTTGATCCACTTTGAGTTAACTTTTGTGCATGGCGAGAGGAGGGGATTCAGTTTCATTTTGTTGCATATGGATTTCCAGTTTTCCCAGCACCATTTGTTGAAGATGCTATCCTTCCTCCATTGCATGCTTTTAGCTCCTTTATCAAATATAAGATAGTTGTAGCTTTGTGGATTAGTCTCTGTGTCCTCTATTCTGTACCATTGGTCCACCCACCTGTTTTGGTACCAGTACCATGCTGTTTTTGTTACTATTGCTCTGTAATATAGTTTTAAATCCGATATCGCTATACCACCTGATTCACACTTCCTGCTTAGAATTGCTTTTGCTATTCTGGGTCTTTTATTTTTCCATATGAATTTCATGGTTACTTTATCTATTTCTACAAGAAATGCCATTGGGATTTTGATTGGCATTGCATTAAACCTATAGAGAACTTTTGGTAATATCGCCATTTTGATGGTGTTAGTTCTGCCTATCCATGAACAGGGTATATTTTTCCATCTTCTAAGATCTTCTTCTACTTCTCTTTTTAGGGTTTTGTAGTTTTCATTGTATAAATCCTTCACCTCTTTTGTTAGGTTGATTCCCAAGTATTTTATTTTTTTTGAGGATATTGTGAATGGAGTGTTTTTCCTCATTTCCGTTTCAGAAGTTTTGTCGCTGATATACAGAAATGCCTTTGATTTATGTGTGTTGATTTTATATCCTGCCACTTTGCTGAATTCATTTATTAGTTCTAGTAGTTTTTTTGTAGACCCTTTTGGGTCTTCTAGGTATAGAATCATGTCTTCTGCAAATAGTGATAATTTAAGTTCTTCCTTTCCTATTTTTATGCCTTTAATTTCTTTCGTCTGTCTAATTGCTCTGGCCAGTGTTTCGAGAACTATATTGAATAGAAGTGGTGATAGAGGGCATCCCTGTCTTGTTCCAGATTTTAGGGGGAATGCCTTCAATTTTTCTCCATTGAGAATGATGCTAGCCTGAGGCTTAGCATAGATAGCTTTTACTATGTCGAGGTAAGTTCCTGTTATTCCCAGTTTTTCTAATGTTTTGAACATAAAGGGATGCTGTACTTTGTCGAATGCTTTTTCTGCGTCTATTGAGATGATCATATGGTTCTTATTTTTAAGTCTATTGATGTGGTGAATAACATTTATTGATTTCCGTATATTGAACCATCCTTGCATCCCAGGGATGAATCCTACTTGATCATGGTGCACAATTTTTTTGATGTGCCTTTGTATCCGATTTGCCAGAATTTTATTGAGGATTTTTGCATCTAGGTTCATCAGAGATATTGGTCTGTAGTTTTCTTTCTTTGAGGTGTCTTTGTCTGGTTTCGGAATCAGGGTGATGTTGGCCTCATAGAATGAATTTGGTAGAGCTCCCTCTTTTTCTATTTCCTGAAATAGCTTGAAATGTATTGGTATTAATTCTTCCTTAAAGGTTTTGTAAAACTCCGCTGTATACCCATCCGGTCCTGGGCTTTTCTTGGTTGGAAGTCTTTTGATTGCTTCTTCTATTTCATCTATTGATATTGGTCTGTTTAAGTTGTGAGTATCCTCCTGACTCAGTCTGGGCAAATCATATGACTTAAGGAATTTATCGATGTCTTCACTATCTTCTATTTTATTGGAATATAGGTTTTCAAAATAATTTCTAATTGTCTTCTGTATTTCTGTAGCGTCTGTTGTGATATTGCCTTTTTCATCCCGTATGTTAGTAATTTGAGTTCTCTCTCTTCTTCTCTTCGTTAGCATGGCTAAGGGTCTGTCGATCTTATTTATTTTTTCAAAGAACCAACTTTTAGTTTTGTTAATTTTTTCAATAGTTTCTTTTGTTTCAATTTCGTTGATTTCCGCTCTGATTTTAATTATTTCTTGCCTTCTGCTACATTTGCTGTTGTTTGCTCTTCCTTTTCTAGGGCTTTGAGATGAAGTGTGAGCTCATTTATTTGTTGGTTTTTCCTTTTTTTGAGGAATGACCTCCAGGCGATGAATTTCCCTCTTAAAACTGCTTTCATTGTGTCCCATAGATTCCGATATGTTATGTCTGTATTTTCATTTATCTCTAAGAATTTTTTTATTTCCTCCTTTATGTCTTCTGTAACCCCTTGATCATTCAGTAACATATTGTTCATTTTCCATGTGATGTAGGATTTTTCCTTCCTTCTTTTATCATTGATTTCCAGTTTCATTCCATTATGATCAGATAAAATGCATGGGATTATCTCCACCCCTTTATATTTACTGAGGGTTGCCCTATGGCATAATATATGGTCTATTTTTGAGAAGGATCCATGTGCTGCTGAGAAAAAAGTATATCCACTTGATGATGGTTGATATATTCTATATATGTCACTTAAGTCTAGGTTGTTGATTGTGATATTGAGTTCTATAGTTTCTTTATTCAACTTTTGTTTGGAGGATCTGTCAAATGGTGAGAGAGGTGTGTTGAAGTCACCCATAATTATTGTGTTGTGGTCTATTTGATTCTTGAACTTGAGGAGAATTTGTTTTATGAACGTCGCAGCACCATTATTTGGTGCATAAATATTGATAATTGTTATGTCTTGTTGGTGAATGGTTCCTTTTAACAGTATATAATGTCCTTCCTTATCCCTTTTGATTAACTTAGTCTTGAAGTCAATTTTATTCGATATGAGGATGGCCACCCCTGCTTGCTTACGAGGACCGTGTGCGTGGTATATTTTTTCCCAACCTTTCACCTTCAGCCTGTGTATGTCTTTTCCAATCAGATGTGTCTCCTGGAGGCAGCATATTATTGGATTTGTTTTTTTAATCCATGTTACCAGCCTATGTCGCTTTATTGGAGAGTTTAAGCCATTAACGTTTAGAGTTACTATTGATATATGGTTTGTACTTCCAGCCATGTTTGATTATTTATCTTCCTTTTTTAAAATTTAATTTAGTTTGTTTCTCCATGGTTAGCTTTCCCCCCGCCCTCTGTTTTTATAGAGGCACTTCCCACTGATGGTTTTGGTTATTGTTTTTCATTTCTTCCTCGTGTAGTGTTTTGCTCAAGATGCTTTGCAATGCTGGTTTTCTGGCTGCAAATTCTTTTAGCTTTTGTTTATCATGAAAGATTTTTATTTCGTTGTCATACCTGAAGCTTAATTTTGCTGGATACAGAATTCTTGGTTGGCATCCATTGTCTTTCAGTGTTTGAAATACGTTGTTCCAGGATCTTCTCGCTTTCAGCGTCTATGATGAAAAATCCGTTGTTAACCTTATTGGTTTACCCCTGAATGTAATCTGCCTCCTTTCTCTTGTAGCTTTTAATATTTTCTCTTTGTTCTGTATATTGGATATCTTCATAACAATGTGTCTTGGCGTTGGTCTACTGTGATTTTGTGTGCTCGGTGTCCTGTATGCATCTAAAATTTGTATATCCATTTCCTTTTTTATTTCTGGAAAGTTTTCTGTAATTATTTCATTCAGCAGGCTACTCATTCCCTTGGTTTGAATCTCTGTACCTTCTTCTATCCTGATGACTCGTA